TTTATGTAAAATAAAAAGAGAAATAAAAAGGTATTATTTTTTGGAGTATTTTCATATTTAGGGCAAAACCCTAATTTTAATCAAAAGGGTATTAATTACTTAATATATATAATATTTACTATTTACATACAAAAATAAAATAAAATATAGTATATTTATAAAAATGTATTTTTAGTGTTAAATATTAATAAAAATAAAAAGATGTATATTCTTGGTATTTTACCCTAAGTGTATATATATATATATATATATATATATATATATATATATATATATATATATATATATATATATATATATATATATATATATATATATATATATATATATATATATATATATATATATATATATATATATATATATATATATATATATATATATATATATATATATATATATATATATATATATATATATATATATATATATATGTGTGTGTGTGTGTATATTTATATTATTTGCAAAAAATACATTAAATATGCACAAAATAATAATATTTAATTTTATAAAAAAAAAAGTATTTTTTATACAAAATGTTTCAAAAGGGAAAAATGAAATAAAAATCAGAAATACAATATGTTTACATTATTAATAATATTTCTAAATAATATTATATATATATATATATATATATATATATATATATATATATATATATATATATATATATATATATATATATATATATATATATATATATATATATATATTTATGTATAATAGTATATATAAACAAATAAATACTTAAAAAATGCAAAAATGGTGTAAAAATGATTTTTCAGGTTTTAAACATTATTAGAAAAAATAAATGAGTCAAAATAAAAAAAGAAAAATAAAAAAAAAACATTAAATCAAGCAAATGGGCTCAGGGGGGTATGAATCAAAAAGTATGGTGTAAGAAGCAAAACAAAAGTTGGCCCAGCCCATGAGGCACCTTCTTCAACCTCTGAACAACATTATTCAAAAAAACGCGCGCCCTGTTCTTCCATCCAAACATCCTGATTCCTGGCTTATTAATGAAAACTCATAACATAAAAAATGTTCAGCATCAAGAGACGAATCCAACCATATGCAGAACTTGATCTAACTCTCTAAGATGAGAGAGAATTTCTTCTCCCCCAAATCCTGACCTAGATTTTCTGCCATTTTCAAACCTTAAATTCTCACAGCTCAGGCAAAAGAAATGAAAAGTAAAAGCATGTACAGGTTCAGTGGCATGAGTAGAACATTGCTTATTCACAAACTTAGAGCTAATGATGTCTAATAAGAGAGATAGAAGTTCACCAAAATACCTGTTCAGTTGAAGTTCTATCTGGCAATGGGGGAGCTTTCAGTGCAAGATAATGGTTGGTATAGCTTCCTTGAGGTGTGGTGATGCTGTTCCAATATTTACTTTGCCTTGAGACACCTTGAATTGAGCTGTAGAACTTCAACTGCAAAATGAAAAAAGTGAAAATGGTGGAACTTGTTAGAGGAATTACAGGTCGTGTTTCAAGTCATGGTTAGCTTGCATAGATGCTAGGGAATGTGTGTGAACTGGTTTGGGCAAGAAAGCTTGAGAGAAATGGGAGACGACACTCAAACTGCAGGCCTGGCCCTGTTCTTGCAGTTTGAAGGTGATTCTGGGATTGGGAGTGTATGAGGGTTGTTAGGGTTGTGGACTAGCTTGGTTGGGATGTCTTGGATGTGTTTTACAAGTTTGCTTAAGTGTTTGTAAGCTGATATGAGAGTTCTCTTACAAAATGCCAAGTTACTTACACTTTAAGCAACAAATGCCCAAGTTGTGTTCTAGGTCAGTAGAGGCCCCCTAATGAGCTGCATAATCTCTCCTTGATCAGAGTGTTTTGCTCATAATCTTGTGCCAATTAGATTTCATTTGTACCTCTTGGATTTTCAATTGGACATAAAGCTTAACTTTTCAAAAATGGTTATTTTGTTTTTTCCATAAATGGATTAAACTTGTATGTAATGCTTGAACTCAAAGAACAATGCTTTAGCACAATGAACATACATTAAATTATTGAGTGTTGGATGATTTAAGGACCTGTAATCAAGGGGCATGCTGGTTTGAGAAGTTTGCACAAATTATGAACATGAAAAATAGCCAATTCAAAAGTGAGTTTTTGCCATATTGTGAAATTCGATTCTCTCAAGTTATGAGGTTGTTTGAGAAGTTCTTGGAAATTTTGGAAAGCTTGGAATGTGTACTACAATCCATCTTTGAAATGCAAATTGAAATTCCAAGTGGAAGTGTATGGAAAATGGCCTTGAAGTTGGGTAGAAAACCTTGTCAAAATAGGTTAAAATTTCACTAAGTTAAGAATGGTTTAGTGCCCTTATTCAAAAATTTGTAACTTGAGATACAAGCCTCATTTGGGAAAACTTTGTGAATCAAAGTTGTAGATTATGCAACAAGCTACAACTTTCATGTTTTGACTTTTGTTTGAATCCAAATGGATCTTGGTGAGAAAGTGGGGCAAAGTTGGGAAAAAATTAGGGTTTTTCATAACTTAGAAAAATTATAAGTTATGAAAAATTCTAATTTCTAACCCTAATTTGCATTTTGTGATTTCTTGGTGAACAAGTTTCATGATTTGGCATGTTTTGATGAAAAATGAATCTTGACTCTTGATTTTGACCAAAAAGTCAAAGTTTGACTTTTCAGTATACAGTCAAAATTGATCAATTGACTGGGAAATTCAACTGTCAATCTTGTGTACTTGGGATCTTTTGAGTTTGTTGAGCATGTCAAGATAATTCCATGGGGTCCTTGAGTCCATATGTGAGCTTGATTTTCCATTGGCTAGGTCAAACAGTCAAGAATTGCCTTTGTGCAGTCAAAACCCTAAAAATGATCATTTTGCCCTTTTGGTGATCTGATCAAATTTCTTGTGGAATTGTGATCCAAACTTGATCAAATGGTCCATGTGAGTTCATAATGTTGATGGGGGTCAATTTTCATGAGGTTTGACTGTCAATTGGCCACAGTTGACTTTTCCTCAATACAGCTGATTTCTAGGTCAACTGTCCAATTGACTGGGCAAAACTTGGAATCAAGGCTTGAAACTTGGTATGGATAAACTTGGGAGTCCAATATGAAGCATGAAAGTCATCTTAGGCATTTTAGGTCAAAACATCTTTGTGCAAACACAAACCCTAATTTGGGTCAACAGTGCAAGGAGAAGTCTTGAGCAGATGAAACCCTAACTGGATCTTGAGTTTCAAGGGCTTTGTGGTGAGAAATCAATGAGAAATGGGAGGGAAAATTTTGGGGTACAACATACGTCAATGACACGTATTGTCCCAAGAATGATGTCTTGTTTATCCTTCTATTGAGAGCCCCTTATATAGTATTAATTCTTTGCGTTATCAAGAGCCTCAGTTAATGAGTGACTCTTGAGTTTCATAACCACATAACATCTGCCGTCTCCATAAATGGAGGTGATTAAAGTTGTGTTGTGTTGTGTTGTAGTAAATGCGACGTCGGAGGTTACAAGCATTAATGAGCCGAGTTGGTGACCGACTATGGACAGGAGGTCTCGGTCACCAACCTTATTCGGATTCAGGGTATATACGGACTACTATCCGAAGGTGTGATGACCATTTGATACTCCTTAATTGAGTTGCACCCCGGACACCTTCACCATTGTGCCGATTATAATTGCTTTATAGTCGCAAAAATATGCAGCATAGGTCAAATCGCGTTAATAGTTAATTATGTTCATTGTCTTTTACTTGTATTACTTTAATCTTCTATATGAATTGATGTTCTAATAACATCTAAACTTGTTTAATACAGTTGTCCTAAATTGAAGTATTTTTTAGCCTTGTGAGAGTTGTCAAAGAAATTTGAAATTTGTTATCGTTAAATAAGGTGACACATATCTTTTCTAAATTAACTAGATTTGAGTTTGAATTTCAAATTTGAGCATGCAACAATAACATTGCACACTTTCACATTCACAAATTATGATCACAAAAAGATGTCATTTTAAAAACACTTATTTGATGAAATTTAAATTAATATTCACGTTTGATTTAAGGGTGAAAAAATAGATCTGATTCGTCAAACATATCTATTTTTCTTATATTTTTTGTAAATCAAATCTAAGTTTTAACTTTACACCCTCAACTATGTCTGCTCTGAGTTAAGCTAGCTCATTTCAAGAAAGCAAACAAGTGCCCGTAAGACAAGCCTTCCTTTGAAAAGTGGAGTGGTAGTTTTCTTTTATGTCATGCCAGTTAAGGCAGTGGATGCCATTACTTGACTCAATCTATCCGGGTGATCGAAGGCGTATCGCGATCGACGCTTATTATACGTTGCTTCCACTGCTGTGTACATCCCCAGTCAATAAGAGAAGAGGAGTGGGTCCTCTCCTATTTAGCATACTTTTATACGAGTGTGGGCACTAAGATGGAATTTTGCAACTTTTATATTTTAGAGGTGCAAGGTCCTTCTAATTTGCATCACCTCATTTTTGTAGGACATACAAAGTTTTAAACACACACTCTCTACTATGTCCACCTCACCCTATTTTTTTGCCGATTTTTGCAAGACATACATGTTCATTTGCCACCCCTAATTTAATCACATGTTGGAGACGGGTTAAGATAACAACTATCATTTAAACTATTTTACTTCTTTTCAACCAATAAATTTGTAAAACCTGTTGGATTTTATTTATATATTTTATGGATTAGCAGTAGTAAGAATCATTATATTATCAAGGGTAGGTATTCTGATTTATAATAATGCACTTGGTTATAAATAAATACCATCTTGGGCTGTATTTCATGGATGACTGATTATGTGTAGAACTGTTCTTCCATATTCTGCTAAGCGCTCCCTATGACAAGTACACATCTCTAATTTATTCCTACAACATCATATAATTATGCTATACATTGTATCTATTGTTGATTTCTCATTACAAATCTATTCAACAAAAACGTCACAATCAACTCATCAAACCTCAGGTTCACTATGGAGGAGACTATTACAGCATCTTTGTCCATGAACCCAAAAATGGAAAAATAGCAATAAGCAATCGAACCAAAAGAGGTGTGTCACTTTTTCTTTCTCTCCTACTCAACCTACCACCTTCCATGGTCATCCTTTGTGACCCTTTCTTTGCTTGAGATCTCCTTCGTGATGGCCTAGGTCTCTCCAAGTCATCCCATCCACCAAAACTCGGTGCGTTTCGGCTACCACTATCTACTGAACCGTCGTTCTCAACAACCCATGACTGCATCCCTCCCTTCCTTGTACTAGTTTTCTGGTTTTCTTCTTCAGGTTCTTCCTCAACTCGGGTGTCATTTACATTTCTGCGTTTCCTCTTCATCCTGTACCTGCGCTTTGGTTTGCTCTCGGTCCGTCCCCATAATTTCTCAAATGCTAGTGCAAGTGCTGACTGACCGAGAGGAATTGCTAATGCCATGAGGAAAGCTTTTGGACCGGTAGAAAGTAACCATGACGCGAGGATTATAGGCAGCGTCCAACCATAGGGCTTAAAAATCTGCATCGTCAAAAATGAATTCAACACCTTGCACAAATAAGTACATTGCATGCACTAGCAACCAGATGATCAGGTTGTATTTATTTCAGAACATATTAAATTGGCAAAATTTTGGCAAACATTATTACATTCCGTAGAGTCAAGATTGAGTGTTTGGCAAGTAATATCATAAGATGTTACGTGCTAAGATGCCTGAGAGTGTTATGAGCAGAGAAAGGTGTCTATGCGAGTGATATGCGAGAGAAAGTTGTTTTTAGCTTATACAATTTACTCTCTTTTCCTCTTTGATTATAGATAATCGAAGAGGAAATGACAAATAAACCATACACATCAATGAAGTCAAACATGAGATCTTAAGCAGAATCGGTCGGCTTGTGAAAGATTGTAAAACTCGGATCATTAGAACGGCACGTAAGATCCTATCGAATGGGGAAAAATGGTAATTACATATATATTTATATACACACGTGCACAAAAACATGAAAATTATAATCAAACACACAAAAAAAAAGGCACAACATGTTCTTTAAACATCAAAAAGCTCAATCTTGATCAGACAGGCAACGAAAACGATCTTTCTTTGATCGTAACACTATCAGACATCATTGGCACGTAAGATCTTACAATTCAGCGCTCGACTTTGACCACTCTAATACACATAAACTCTTACACAATAAGAGTGTAGTCAATAAACTTTTAATTAACTTGTGTATCCAAACACAGCCTAGCACCTTTATCACTTCTCTCATTTTAGCAGTTACCATTTTAGAAAAAACTAGAAAGAACTACAACTTCTTTAATAAGTGTATTCCACATAAATAAGGGCTTGTTTGGATCGGTTTATTTGACTCTATTACTAGCATAAACACTAGTAAGACTATTTGGGAGAACTTCTAGAATAGCATATGACATATATCTATAAACATTCTCAACTTATTTCTACAATCTCTCCATAATAGCTTATGAAAACAACTTATAGCTAATATTCTAAAAAATCAAAATTTCCTAAAGAACTCAATCAATCTTCACTATAAAAATAAAGGGCATCATTCAAAAAACCAAAATCATAAGAAAAAAGCTCTAAAACTATAAATTGGTTTACCTTGAGAATCCACAAACTATCTAAAGCATCTACCCAAGCTCCACTATATCCTTCCTCAGTTTCTTCCGGAGACTCATCAGACCACCACCTCCTCTTCTTCACATATTCCTCATCATCTTCCTCTTCTTCTTCTTCTTGTTCTAGAGGTTTGGTTCTAGCATTGTTGAAGCTGAAATTTGAGGGTTGAAAAGCATCATTGGAATCCCAACGTGGGAAGTTGTTGGAGGAAAAAGAGATGCGAGAATGAGAAAGAGGTTTTGTGTGAAAGGGTCGCCATGGACAAGGGGAACAACGGGGTTGAGGTGGTCGGGGAACCTTGGCAGCAGTGATGAAGAGCTTCCATCTATCACACATCTTCATTATCTCTATCGTAATTAATTCTATAAGATTTAAAATTTTATAAAAAATAATTTAGTTTTTTCTAGAGATAATAAAAACATTTTGCTAGTTGCACCCATTATTTTTCTGGTTACACTGCTTACACATTGAAATAATTATGTTGGTGTGCCACTATAAGAATTGAGTTGTCCTTAAAGTAATTTATGTTTGAATATATTTATATAAAAGTAAGTCAAACGATAAATTTTAGAGTCTGTTTAGATAATTTAAAAATTAATAGAATGGAGCGGAGTGGAACAAAATAGAATATAACGAAATGGAATGGAACGAAACATAGACTTCATTCTATTATTTGAATATTTTACGACGAAACAAAATTAATATCTCATTTCATTGTTTGGAAATTTAACAGAGCATAAAGGATTATAATTTTTTAACTATATTTTTATCCTTTACTTTAAAAATATTATATGAATAATGTGAAATTTTGGAGGACAAAATTGGATTTGTGCTATTAATATATTTCATTCTATTGGATACACCTTAATTTGAATGGAATGGAAAATAGGATAAGGTAATGGTATTGGATAAAATGTGTTTCATCACATCCCATTTCATTTTATTCATTTTTTAGAAAACTAAACAATGGAACACAACATCATTCCACTTTATTCCATTTCATTCCATCATTTTTCATCAATCCAAACACACCCTTAATATAAAAATTACATTTAAGCTTAAAAGCTACCAATTATAATTTCAAATAGAATTAATTCTAGAGACATATAATCAATTCTACTAAAAAAAATTAAATGTCTCAAAATCATTTCATAATCAATTCATGCAAAAGTTAAATCAAACTAGCACTAAGTCTGAGTTTATCACTGCAACAAAGTGAGTTCTATTTCTATTTATTTTTTTATATATTTCTTAATACAATTTATTCTTAGTGAATTCTTATTTATCCAATTTAAAAAATTGAGTAAGATTACCTCTAATATAAAATATTTTGGAAACAATGAATAATTGTTATGTTTAATAAATATTTAAATATATTAAAATTAAATGGTGTCATATAATCGGTTGAAAGTACACTATCCAATTTTTTATGATGGATAGAGAAGTTATTCCCTTTATTCTTTAGACTATATTTTTTTTGGTTTAGCTTTAACAAGAGTTTTATTTTATATTATTATTAGAAGTTAAATTTAGCATCATAGTCAAATGTAAAATTTTAGAATAGTAAAATTTTATTTTATTTTTGTTATTGAATATAATGATTTCTACTAGTGGATCAACTAAGGTTATTAAAATATGAAATCAAAAAATTTAATGGAAAAAATGATATTTTTTCTATTGGAGAATGCATGTGAAAACGTGTTTATTTCACAAAAGTTGCACAAGGCGTTAGCGAGAAAAGAACAAAATCCTGAGTAGGAAGGATGAGAATTGGGAAATTTTAATCTCAAAGCATGAGCCGCCATAATCTTATGCTTCGAGGGAGATGTTGTGCTCTTGGTAAATGAAGAAACAACAACAACTGGTGTATGGTAAAAGTTAGAGAATATTTCATGATGAAAACTCTAACAACTCATATCTATGCTAAATCTAAATCGTATACTTTTAAGATAGAGGAAGGAACCTCAATTCAAGATTACTTTAACAAATTTAATAGGATTATATAAAACTTGAAGGACATAAAGTTAATATGGATTGTTGCGAAAACGATGTCTTGGAAATAAAGTATAAATTATTTCTCTATGATCAAGAAACACACAAGAGTAGAAAAGATAAAAAAAACAAGAAGAACACAAAGAATTGGTTATTAACTACTATTCTTTACTTTCTCTTTAAACAAGATAACAAGTGCACAAGAATAACAAATAACCCTCTCACCTTAAATTAGGATTTGTTGTATGCAATGATGATAGACTAGTATGCTATTTATAATAAGGTTAACATACTAAACTAATGAGATTTTTCCCAAATACCCATTATAAGCTAACTTAAGGTACAAGCTAACTTAAACAATTGGACATGACAAACAGGGTCAATTCAACATGCTTACAAACCTAACATTATTGACATCTACATACTAGAACATATTCCAACTACAGCATGTAGGTCTTCGATAACAACATGTGAGCAGACTTCGACGGCATGCTAAACTCATATCGAACTGTCAAACAAAGAAGCTACCCTCGACCAGACTAGAGTTCAACCTAATATCTTACAAATCTCCACCTTGGAACAAACTCTAACATCAACGGAACAAACTAGCTTTCTTCATGCAGTACTATCAACTGCATATAATGGAAAATTTTACAATTTGGAAATGTCTTGGTGATCGTATCAGCAACATTGTGATATGTTGAAACCTTCAGCACTTGGACTTCTCCATGCTCGATTACCTCTCTGACAAAATTTAGTCTTACATCGATGTGCTTGGTTCACTCATGATAGGTTGAGTTCTTCGACGGGTGTATTACACTTTAACTATCATATTTAACAGCGATAACTCGACCTTAAAGTTTCATCTCTTTAGCAAAAATTTCAAGTCACAATGCTTCTTTCACAACTTCAGTGAGGGCGATATATTCCATTTCAGTGGTTGATAAGGCTACAACCTTCTGAAGTATCGCTTTCCAACTAATTGTTGTGCCAAGCATAGTAAAAACATGTGCAGAAATAGATTTTTTGGAATCCATATAACCTGTATAACCAGAGTCAACGTATCATTCAATTACTGCTTTACTATCTTCACTCAAGGCTCCACCATAAATTAGTACTTTGTTTAGAGACCCATTTATGTACCTTAGAATCCACTTCAAGTCTTGCCAGTGAGCCTTTTCAGGATTCGCCATGTACCTGCTTACAAGACTTACTGCATATGATATGTCGGATCTAGTACAAACCATAGCATGAATCAAAGAACCTACTATACTAGCATATGGGATGCTATTCATATAAGCTCTTTCGACATCAGTACTGGGACATTGATCTATACTCATCTTGAATTAAGGGTTTGTTGGAGTTACAACAAGCTTTGAATTTGACATATCAAACTTGTCGGGAAGCTTCTATAGGTATGCCTCTTGAGATAAGCATAATTTTGACTGCTTTCTATCTCTTAGGATGTCAATCCCAAGAATCTTGGATGCAACTCCCAGATCCTTTATGTTGAACTCCTTATTGAGTTCAGCCTTCACCCTTGTTACATCTTCAACATTGTTACTTGCTATGAGAATATCATCCACATAAAGCAAAAAAATAACAAATGAATTACTAAGTCGAAATCTGAAGTAAACACGATGGTCGAACTGACTTCTAATAAAACTTGTGTGTATGAACCTGTCGAATCTCCTATTCCATTTTCGAGGAGATTATTTCAGTCCATATAAAGATCTCTTCAACTTGCACATAATCTTTCTTCCCTTTTTCTACATACCTTCAGGTTCCTTCATTAGGATTCTTTCATTTAGATGACCATATAAGAATGCAGTCTTCATATCCATATGTTCCAGTTCAAGGTCGAACTGTGCCACCATTACAAGCAACATTCGAATGGAGATGTGCTTCACAATAGGAGAGAATAATTCATTAAAGTCGACACCTTCTGTTTTAGTGAAACCCCTTGCGACCAACCTTGCCTTGTATCTTTTTGATGTCACTCCTTTGATTTCTTCCTTAACTTTGAAAATCCACTTACAGCTGACTAACCTGGCTCTAGTAGGTTTCTTAATCAGTTCCCAAGTGTTGTTATCATGAAGAGATTTCATATCATCATTCATGGCCTTCATCCATTCATTCTTATTTTGACTCCTCATAACTTTCTTATGGTCCCTAGGTTCTTCGTCTAAAACCTCACTTGTAGAGATTAAGTCATAAGTTATAAGATCTACATACCCAAGTCTCTGAGGTGCCTTGATGACTCTTCTCGTCCTATCCCTTGCCAATGGGTAGTCATCGACTGTTTCCTCAACTTCCTTAGCATCTTTCGCTTCTTCTTCGACTTCGTCTGGGATATGCAGTTCAACACCAACATGTTCCACCTCAACAAGAATCTCTCTCTGTTCCAGCTCTTCGTCAGATATTTCTGCACTTTGACCAACATCATCAGTTTTCTTGAAAGTCATTTTAACTTCATTGAAAACTACATCTCGACTGGTGATACACCTCATGTGACATGGTTCTAGGCACCATAGCCTATAAGCGTTGACTCCTTCAGGGTATCCCATGAACATGCCTCTCAGAGCTCTAGGTTCGACATTGTCTTGCCTAATGTGAGCATAGACTACACAACCAAATACTCTCAGTTTTTTGAGATCTGATGGATGTCCCAACCAAACTTCTTCCGGTGTCTTCATATCTAATGCATTCGAAGTACATTTGTTTATCAGATATATTGTTTTCGAAACAGCCTCAACTCAAAACACCTTCTTTAACCCAGCACTAGTCAACATGCATCTAACTCTCTCCAAAATAGTTTGATTAAACCTTTCAGCCAAACCATTTTGTTGTGGTGTACCTATAATAGTTTTGTGCCTTGCAATACTAGAGGAAGCACAAAAACTGTCGAAAGCCTCATTTCAAAATTCAAGGCCATTGTCTATTCTCAACCTCTTGACTTTTCTACTAGTTTGATTCTCAACCAGAGTCTTCCAAATTTTGAAATTCTCAAAAGTTTCATCCTTAGTCTTCTGGATGAATACCCATAACTTTCTGGAATAATCATCAACTATGGATAGAAAATACTTTGCTCCTGAATGTGATGGACACCTTGCAGGCCTCCAAAGATCAGCATGGATGTAATCAAGGGATCCATGTGTTCTTTGTTTTCCTTTGTTGAACTTCACTCTACAAGATTTTCCAAGTACACAGGGTTCACAAAACATCAATTTTTCGACTTTGTCTCCACCAAGCAAATTTTGTTTCCCCAATTAGACCAGACCCTTTTCATTGACATGGCCCAATCTTATGTTCCTGATTTGTGTCTTCGACAAAGGTTTCGTGGATGCAAA